GCCCAGCACACACATAGAGGGCCATTTGGGAGATACCAGAGGTCAGCAAGAACGTGTTTCAGCGATGTGAAGTGACGCTCAAGCGGACTCCGTGTGTTTTGCGATGCTGGCTTCGGAGCTGGACCCCAGACTCCGCAACAAACAAACATGAATCAAATATTTAATTTGTTTGTTTGATAACTACCAAACAAACAAATTAAACATAGGTAGCTTTTTTTACCAAACAAACAAGCATAAAGATTGTAACATTTGCAAATATTTGCAAGTATTTAGTGTTTTGTTAGGCTAAGTTTTTGCAGTTTGTTAGGTTGTGAGCGCGTTGATTTTAGTGTTTTAGTGTTCTAAATTAACGTGAACCACAAGCGAGCTGATCACACAAGCGAGCTGATCACTAAATGCGGCACCCTACGTTCACACGCGAACAACTTAACACCACGATAGGCTATCACAACGTACAGTAGCTTAAATTAATCGTCTACTTCTATTGTATCTTTTTGGCACGTGCGCTTGTTGTGCCCAGTTTCACCGCATGTCTTACAGCGTCGGATACCACCTCTACTACCACCTGCGCGCAGCCTCCCATCACGCGCCTCCCTCTCGAATTGACCATCAACGTCCCTTTGCTCAACTATTGCCTCAGCCTCTACCTGCGATAGGGTCCCTCCTTCCTGAATTCGCTTCTTTTTACGCTTCCTGCGCTCAGAAGCAGCTCTATTTGCTGCCTCAAGGTCAGCTACCCAGCCTCCAGCGCTGATCGCAGCAATCAACGTTACCCACTCACGATCGCCAGGCTGAACTCCCAACGGCTTGAGGCGCCTTTCAGACGCTGTGACCACTTTTACTGACCCTCCAACACCCATCTGGAAGCCAGTCTCGTCAAAGTTATAGGTATCTTCGTCCAAGATACCGTACGTAGCTTTGACGCTACGTACAAAATCAAACCAGGGGCTGATAATAGCTGGATCGCTGCATAGAACTCTCTGGAGATCACGCTGCCTAGTTACTTGAGATTTGATACCAGGCTTGCGGCGTATGAAGTTGGTAGCCCAGTTCTGGCCAACCTGGGTACCACCACGTGCAGCAAGTAGCTGATCAGCCATTTCTCGTACGTAGCTAAGCGTGGGTGCAAAACCTCGTGCGTCAAGCTTCCTTATATACTGGACTATCGTCTCTTCCTCGTGCTTTACTAGCTTTGATGAATTGGGATGGATATCGCGTCGGGCAGGTGTTTTGGCGCGTCGGGTACTGAGCGTGCTTTGAGGAACGTTGTAGATAGCAGCAGCACGTCGCTGGCTTAGTGATGTATCAGATTTCATAGCTTGGATGGCAAGAATTAGCCTATCTGTGCGGGAAAGTGATTCAAGATCAGGTAGTTGTGGCATTGTGATAGATAGCAGGAGGTGGTGTTGTCTTGGCAAAGTGATCAGCTCGCTTGTGTGATCAGCTCGCTTGTGGCTCACGTTACAGCAGAGTCGCGATGGAACACGAGCCGGCTTTGGAGGCAGATACCGAAGAGCATGTATGTGAAGCTGGAACCAGCAGTTAGAACTGTGGGAGACGATAGGAAATACAGGCAATTAAGTGCAACGGCTTTAAACTGCAAGATCGTAAAGAAACGCAGACACGATGTGAGTTTGTGTCGGCATGTTCATCCACCACCATACACAGCACCAACTGATTGAGACCTCAAAGACCATGTCCGTGGCCGTCTTGAGTTGCGCGGAGTTTATAGCTATCCCAACAACGAGAAACTGGCACAAAAATGAGGCTGCATTATCGCCCAAGAAGCTGCTCGCGCGGAGTCTCTGAGACTTATAGTGGCTACGCTACGATGATCAGCTTGGGATACTGTGCTGAATATGGCGGTGTATCCTAGACGGCGGTATGATGATCTGTATCTGGCGATTACGATTTGTGAGTTGAGTGACGAGGAAAGATAGATGGAAGGAGGTGACTGACATCACGAAACTTTAGGAACTCGCGCGTTACATGGTTGCCGTGACGACCAGGAATTAAAGGACACCAGTTAGTGCACACTTTCGATCAGTATAACGATCAATCCCTTACTGAAGGTAACTGCTACAAGAAACAGCCCCAAATCAGAACACGCATGCTAAAAAAAGAGTTCTGTAAGTTGGACATTCAATCCAGGTTGGAGACTCCGGCGAATACAGATGGTAGAAGTGTAGCGAAGACACCGCAAGTTCACCATGGAGGTATCTTAGCGCACGCACGACGAGAAGGAGGCGGTCCTCGCATTCTATCGTGAAGGTTGAACGAGAGTATAACCCAGACATAGCGAAGAAGTGCTGGAACAATATGACAACAAACCTGGAAGCCGTGACCGAGACGCCAACATGGAAAAGAGCAATCCTGCAGCGAATGCGATAGGGCATACATTTCCCACGCCGACTGACGTCTGGCGTCATCTACTGTCTTTGAGACCGAATCAGACATTCCAAGGCTCCTCCCGTTTTCGTTTTCTGCCCCCAGCGACGTCGTCTTTCTCTTACATCTAATAAACAAATGTCGAGCATTGCCATCGAAAGTTGTGTTTTTAACTCTGGTATTGACGAATTTTTACTGTTGCGTGTTGCGATACGCACCCAAATCCATGCTTCTAGTAAGTTCTCCGTATCGCTCTGACCAATGCTTCGCTCGCAATGATCTGATTGAATCCTCGGCTTAGTGCTTCTTACCCAGCGCGTAACGGCGTGAGTTGTACAACAAAGGCGTGTCCTGTGCACGGGCTACAAGAGACCCGAATCTTCTTATGGCCTGTGCGCATTTCGCGCGTTCGCTCCTACAGGCACGTGCACATGCTAGATCAAATTGCTGCCTTTCTTCTTGGTAGTCCTGAAAATTCACAAAATGGCAGCATGCCAGTTCTAGACTAACGCAGTAAAGCTACGGATGAATGCAGCCGCCAAGCGTCAATGCGAACCGCACCCATGGAACATAGACATCTCTCTGAGTAAGGTCCGTCCCTGGGTGAAGAGACACACTGTGTCGCGAGACAGGTTCACGGTTCGGACGCACGGAGATGCGTCTTTTCGAACCTGCTAAGATATAGCTGACACACGATAGTTCTCTAGCCATTGTTCTCTAGGTCGACTTCCCTCCGAGACGGATCGCTGTGGTGTCAGCTAAGCTATTAGCTATTTCGTCAACGTCGTTAGTCAATTCTTGAGCAATTATCCCCTGCTCATTTGTGACGTTGGCTGCTCCTCAAGTATTCGGAGGTTCAAGGATTGAGCGTAATAGAGCAAGATAACACCTTCAGGGTTTAAGAGCTTTTTAACATCAGAGTGTGCATGCCGGGAGCCCCGTTGTGCGAAGCAGGAGATCTCTCAAAACGAGCCCAAGCTGGTGGGATACGCTAACGTCACTTGGCATGCATGAGCCTGCATTAACGTACTTGTTACGTGCTGTAACCTATGGTAAAGAATACAGCGCTATACCCACTCCGTAGCATCTCAAAATAGATGTGGCGCATGCTGCTACCTTTGTAGAAGCATCTAGAAACACTTACATAGTTCTGTTCTCCTGTGCACCATATTTCTCCCTAAGCTGAGTTAACATGCTTACTGCATACTGTCCCTGACTGCCGCCGTCGTCTCAGCTCAATTAGTAGGATACATGAACAAGGTTATCCTTTCGATATTAATGCGCACCTGCGTTGAGCAGCGTCTTGACTACCTGCTCGTGGCCTTCAATTGAAGCTGCTTGCAGTGCGTTGCCGTAGCGTCCACCCTGCGCGTTGACATCGGCGCCCGCGTTGAGCAGCGTCTTGACTATCTGCTCGTAGCCTCCATATGAAGCTGCCTGCAGTGCGTTGCCATAGTATCTACCCTGCACGCTGATGTCGGTGCCCGCATCGAGCAGCATCTTGACCACCTGCTCGTGGCCCCAAATTGAAGCTGCCTGCAGTGCGTTGCCGTGCCCTCCACCCTGCGCGCTGACGTCGGCGCCCGCATCGAGCAGCATCTTGACCACCTGCACGTTGCCTCTCTCTGAAGCTGCCTGCAGTGCGTTGCCGTAGTGTTCACCCAGCACGTTGCCGATGTATTTACCCCGCGCCTTGCCGTATTATCTACCCTGCGCGTTGACCTCAGCGCCCGCATCGAGCAGCATCTTGACCACCTGCTCGTGGCCTTCTTGTGAAGCTGCCTGCAGTGCGTTGCCGTGCCCTCCACCCTGCGCATTAACGTCTGCGCCCGCGTCGAGTAGTAACTTAGCCACCTGCACGTAGCCTCTCTCTGAAGCTGCTTGCAGTGCGTTGCCGTACTCTCCACCCTGCGCGTTGACATCGGCGCCCGCGTCGAGCAGCAGTCTTGTAACCGTGCTAAAGCCTAACAACGCAGCGTAGTAAAGTGGCATAGGTATGTTATCGTCGCTTTTTTCCAGATTTGGCTCCTGCCAAGGACGGTCTGGATCATGCAACCGGAGCCAGTTGAGATATGCAGGCTCTTCCCTAGCCAATAAACCCATAGTGAACTGACTAATTTGCTCCATCTCGTCTCCTGTCTTTCGAAGATGACTGCTCCAGAACTCTGCCGAGTACCTTGCAAGTAGAAACACCTGAAGAGTCTCTCTTTTTAACGGTTGCTGGAGCTGCATCAGGTACTTCAAAGAACCTCTCGTTATTGCACTCTGACATTCGGCCTCTTGCATGCTGTACTGCTTTGCTAACCCTTGCCTGATCCTGTCTGACACAAGGTACTCCTGCACTGAGTAGTGTGCTAGAGCAACGATCCGTTGAGCAGACCCTGATCTTCTGTCCACTTCGTTCGTTGTGATAGTGACTAGACTAGAGCAGATGTTTAGCGCTTCTAGCGGGTCTTCTAGCACCTCGTCACGGTCGAACGCTGGGTCGCGCGCCACGTCGATGGCGACAACTTCGGCGACCTCTTCGACGGACAGCGGCCGCGCAGAGAACGTCAGCCACTGCAGGATACGCATGGCATACTCAGAATATTCCTCGCCTATCGCGGTAAGAATGCGGTCGTATGTCTGGTCTAGCGTCCGCGGCAGACTAGCAAGAGATTTGCGCAGCATCGCTCGATTGCAACACTTTCCTAGTGTGTCTAGCTGGCATACAGCCCACCGGAACCTACGCTATCGTCAGCTCTAGCTCAACAGAACTGAATCAAAACCCTTACATCCCGCGAGCTCCGCCCATTAGCGCGGCCTCAATCTCCTGCCTGACAGAAGCGTCCTTGTTCCATTTCGCCAAGCCCTTGTCGACACGCAGCCTTTGTTGGATGTATCGCTGTATGTCCTTGTCCACTACGTCCCTTTGAAGACATACAGCGTCCTCCTCCCTGATGTATTCCTCTAAGGAGCGCTCAATATCCCGCTCTTTCCGGCTAGTCATGAGCAAATGCAGATTGTCAAGCTGCCACTCAGCCACTGCTTCGAGCATGTCCATCAGCTCCGAGCGCTGTGTACACTCATCTAGAGCATCGAGAACAACGTAGACGTGCGTGAACTCTTGCGCCGCTTCTCTTGTTACTTCCAAAAGCGCATGCAGTGAAGGCTTTCGTTGCCCGTTCTCGCAAGATGCGAACAACGCGTCAACGCCCTTTGGTATCACAACCGACCGCTGTACGAGCTGGCAGAGCAACGAGTGTAGCATTAGCTCTGGATCCTGTTTCTGTGTGTCGTTGAAGTCGAAGTAGAAGTACGCCGTCACCATGCTAGTGTCATCATGGCAGTATTGCAGCAGATTCTCAACAACAGTAGAGCTCAGGATGGTCTTTCCACATCCTGGGATCCCGTACAGCCACAGCCGCGACGCTGCTCTTTTCTTCCAGTCTGTGAACTTTGCACTTTCTAGCAGCCAGAGACCTGTCTTAGCCTGCCGCTGCTTGTGCGCTTTGTGGTAGTTGGTGGACGGATCAGGCGCCGAAAGCCAGCTGCAAATCTTGCCAAGCCTCTCTTCTTGGTCGTGACTACGGCCTTTGTGCTTCAGCATAACCGCACTTCTGAGCCGATCGCGTGCGTTTTCTCTGCCTTCGCCATATATCAGCGGTAGATGGATGTCAAATATGCCGAACAGACAATATGCTCCATCTTCATCGCGTGTCGTCTGGCGATCTTCTGCCCAAGAGAACCGCTCAGCTACGCTAAACTCAGACACTTGCTTCCCTGAAAGAGCTTCGCTAGGTATCCCTGTAATCTCACTGATAGTGTCTTTGAGGGACTGCTTGTCCCCTAGCAGCTCTCCCTCTTTCGAAAAGAACTCGACAGAGCGGGGAGCCAGTAGTTCCTGAAGCGTCCAGCCTCGGTTGAACCACCTGCTCTTCCTGAACGCTGCCTTCCATCTTCTGCGCAAACTGCCATTCCCTTCTAATGAGTTGTTCTCGACGTCCGAAAGCAAGACATAACACTTCTCCGCTTTCTGATACCAGCAGAACATCGAGTTGATCGCTTCTTGAAGCTCTTGGCTGTTCGTCTTGTCGATGCAGCAGGTGTCGACCCAGAAGTAGTCCAGACCGTCCCGCTCAGCCTGTTGCGCGCAGAAGCGAATCTTCCGATATCCCTCCTTGCGTTGTATGTCGACGTCTACTGCATTGTCTAGATCTTTCAGATCGGCAAATGTCACCTCCTGCCCCTCCCAAGTGTGCGACAGGATCGCGTACGAGGGAATCTTGTCTCCGATCAAGTCCTCAGTCCACCCAAGTCTCCCATCGCCTGTAGTGTATAGCAGTCGCATCGTGCTGTGTGTTTGTCCGTATGCGCGAGCGGTGGAAGGAAGTCTTAGAGCTTCGGTGCAAGCTGACGGAATCGACGGCGCGCGGCGGCTGGCTCGCGCAGGGCGTGGAGATCGTAGTTATCAGGGCTGTTTCGAGTGCTAAGTGACGGTTTGCTAAGGTAGGGGTGAGCACGACTGCCCTCCTCGTTGTTGGGGCACGCTGCATCTCAAACACCTAGGGCAGGAGGCGCAGCTCGCACGCGCCGTGACGTGAGGCTGGCTGGGCACGGCTGAAAACGCATGATCGCGCGACAGCCAGCGTGCTGCAAGCCGAGAAGCAGTTCTTGCCTGTGAATGCGACCTGATAGTGTAGAAAGCATAACTTATGGATTGTCGTTTCCTGTAAGAGGATTTCATGATGCCTGTGCAGCGCGTGCTAGTTCGTGCAAGGACACACTGGGCACAGGGACTCTGTGCCGCCAACCATCCTGGGGCTCAAAACGCAGCGCAACGACGATAGCGTCAACAGTCCAGAACATCTTGAGCAACGCATTTGTCTAACGCTAACAAGCAACTCTAATGCGGACAACGAAATACTATAGATGTGCATTATGCTAAAAGCCATGTTCACGCAGCCTTCGCTTACCCGATCGCAACCTCAAACTAAAGCAGAGGCCAGGGCACCCTCATGCACATCCGCCACGCCTATTCTCAGAGGCATACGCGACTGGCATAGCGCTGTATTCTTTACGATAAGTTACAGCAGGCGATGAAAACGCTAAGGCAGGCTCATGCATGCTAAGCGATGTTAGCGTATCCCGCCAGCTCGGGCTCGTTCCCCAAGATCTCCTGCTTCGCACTACGGGGCTGCCGGCATGCTCGCTCTCACATCGGAGCGATCTCACGAGCGTGGGAAGTCGATCTTCCTACGTCGCGCTCTCTGCACAATCAACCGAGCGCTTCAGTGGTCCCTAAGGTCACTGATAGACAGGGGGGTATCGCTATCGAGCTAATTGACGACGGCAACCCAACGATCGATATCACAGCCAACATAGCAGCAAACTATATCGGACGCTAATGTGCTTGAAGAGCAACAGCCTTACAATTATAGTAGACTGATAGCAGCTTTACAAGCACGCAAATGGGAGGCGCAGAAGCTCCGAATTGCCAACCTGTCTCGCGACATAGTGTGTCTCCTCACTTAGGGACGCACCTTACAACGGTCACAGTCTGAATAAGCGCCAACACAGTTGTCGGTTGAACCCTCATCCGAAGATTGCCACTCAGCAGTATTCATAAAGTCCCGCATCTACGAGCACCCAGGCTAAACAATATCACCTCTCATGTGAATCAAACCCCAAGCATCCGGCATGCCATCATCAGTACCACAGTGTGCTTGCTCATTATCCGATAGTCTCTTTCATTGCTCCTTGATACCCTCTTCGAAGAACTGGTGCCCCGTGGCCGCGCTCGATCACGTTGGAGGAGACTTGGGCAAGCACTCTCATGTTCAGTAATCTTGACGAGGCGTACAAGTAAAGTCTGGTTCCTCCAAAGCTACACCACTATACACTGCTGCTACTGTTGTGCGCGTCCATTCAATGTAGAGCTTTTACGTCATGAACGAAGATCTGCGCAGTGCAGCACTCTGTACTTCCCAGATAGGCTGCCCCAGCTCTAGCAGCTCAGTGCCAAAATCCGACAAAACATCATCTACAGTAGCTTGAAACCTGGACCGGTTGTTCCTGTACTCTGTGTCGCTTCTAAACGTTGCGATGTACCACTCCTTCTTCCAAGCAGCCACAGATGCTTGAAGCCATGGGCTCTCTGGTTCGATCTGCTCAGCAACAACGTAGAACGAAGACCTTATAGCATGTTTCCTGCGCGGCTTGAACAATTGGAGCGACGAGAATTTTCTTAGAGTGTACAGAAGGTATACCGTATCCCAGGCCTCAAGTTTGTGCAGTAGAACCACAATTTTGCCGTTCTCTTTAACACGCTGAAGCGCGAACACAAGTTGACTCGTCATTAGCCGCCATGCCTCACGTCTCTCGCGATATTCCGCTCTGGAATGCGTCCGCAGGACTTGGCCATCACAGAAGACCAAATCGAAGGCTTCGCCGTAAAAGGGTCGGTCGAACACGAAGCTTTTAGCATCTGGGTGCTCCACTGGAATGTCGGTAACGTCCATTTCAGCCGCCAGCATTGTGATATCAAGAAAGCGGACTTGTATTCTCGGGTCTTCTCGCCAATTGGGAAGTATCATCTTATGACTGCCCTGAGAAACAGGGAGACTGATCCCACATACCCTAGCATCGCAGTTTCTCTTTAGGATAGAGGCTGTGAAGCCAACAGGTGCCATGCAGAAGTCGAGAATGGCGGGGTTTCTGCTAAGTGATGAAGTTGATGGTAAAACTGAAGTCATCTCGTCGAGTTCGTCACCGATCTGGCACATCATTTTGTAGAATATGCGTTTGCCGGACTCATCCGCGTTATCTGCTCGGTAGCGCTGTACTCTAAAGTGGTCGTCTCCTTGGGGATTCTCCCATCCCTGCTCGTGTAATCAGCACTGGATAGTTTGAGTTTATAAAGGAGGCTTACTCTGCGTCGAAGATCTGTGAGTTCCCTGAACACAGCTGCATGTTTGAGGCAGTACTCCTTGATGATCAGGTTCGGGCATGGGGTCAATGAATCGTCCGACGAGGTTTTGGGACGCCCGTCGTTTGAAGTTGCATTTTCCGGCTCGTTACCAAGCATTGTGTCTCTGGTTGTCAGTAATTTTCAGCTTGACGGTGCGGAAACCACGAATATTCCAGGGTCGAGACCGCGAACGGGTCACATTGTCGATCGCCACTTTTTCTGATTGTTCTTACTCACGGCTCAACAACGGTCGTCGGAAGCACTATCGCAGTTCCGACCGCAAACATATCGCCGCATCACTCGGGCATCGCCGCAAGCCACAGTTACACAACAGCGCTCCAAATGCATGCAACGCATAGCCTGAAGATCGCCGATGCAACACCTATTTGGCGATCTCTGAGCATCACTCGAGCGATCTCTGAGCGTCCGTGAGCTAGACTTGCAGTGTAAAGTCCAGCTTGTGATCAGCCATCGGATCATGTGATCGTGTAGATCTTACGGGACCGACAAAGGTATGGAGTATAGATGGATGATGATAAGAAGGTCGACGTATCGGGCACGATAGGTCCAAGGAGTACGTCAATCGCTGTCGGTACGCAATCGAAATCAACTCCACGACATAACCATTATTCAACTTAGGTCCCGTTGTGATATGATCAGGGGAGCTGTCTTCCGCAGAAAGGGCGATTTCATCGTTTCTCGTGCGACAGCTAGATGCCCATGGAGGCAATTTTAGTTTATTTACTGGCCCTCTTTCTCCGATAGTGACAGTGACAGGCACGGTTGGTTCCTGGTTCTGCGGTCTGCTTCAATCTCACCACACCGTCCACATGGCAAAGATCCTTCTCTACCAATACGGGCGTTTCGTAGGGTATCCAGATAAGGTCTAGGAAGGTTACTTGTATAGATCGAGTGCTGGCGAGCGCCTGGAGACTGTTGAGCAAGTCGAAGCGCTTACTCGATTTTCTTACAAGGCTCATGGCCTCGAGCCAATGAAGAGAGTGCTGCTGCAGAAAGACGTGCGTCGCGTTTCCGTCGGCGTTACCTCACCCGCCCTGTTTGAGACGATCGAATCAGTAACAGCACGTATAGTGTAGATCCAGTGACAGGCTGCTAGCAGCTGCCCGCTCATCGATCTCGCTCCTAAACATATCAGGTCCGGACAAGCTGCCTGTGTCTTGCCATCCTTGTTGTGCGCCCATGATGTAACCACGTCTAGCAGCTCGGTGCGAGTGTTCGGTAGACATCATGCGTGGTGCTTCTCGTTGTGATACCCAAGTGGGCGCCTTTTGCAATAGGCGAGCTAATCGAGGGGTGCTCTCGAATCTCTCGCCGCGACCGATACCAGACCTTGACCCGTCTCTCTCCATACAGAAGCGGCATCTGAACCTTGAAGATACCCAGAAGAGAGTATGATACGTCCTCCTCGCGCCCCATGTTGCGTCCTTGGGCCCACCACATACGTTCGTCCACAGTAAAGCATGTCACCGAACTGTCTCCAAGCACCTGTACAGCAGTTCCAGTGTCTTCGTGAAGAGTCTACATCGCGGACTTCTTGTCTCCAAGATGCTCTCTTTGCTTAGAATAAAATCCAGTAGTTGCTGGAGCGACAAGCTCTTGAAGTGTCCAACTTCACTCAGACTATCTGCTTTTCTTGATTACAGGCTTTCGCTTTCTATGCGTATCGCTGTCTTCTGGAAAGAGGCCACTGTAAACACCGGAGAACACAAGTACCTCCTTGTCGTATCTCATCTTGCTCTTTCCGCTGCTCGTTGACAGATTGTCGAGGGCTACTTCTTGACCCTTCGTCCCAGGTAGTGAAGAGTATCCCATAAGAAGGGATCTCATCGTCACTGACCATGTTCTTTGTACAAGCAAGTCCGCCACCATCTGGGTAGTACAAGAGTCGCATCGCATCGTGAGCGGAGACTGTGGGGCGGGCTAGCGACAGCGGCACGAGGATCGATGGGTATGACAGCCCGTCCGCTCGTTAGGGACAATGGACGTCGCTGGTAGAGGTGGACATAGTGCGTTGATTTGAGTGTTGGACTCAGATCTAACTCAGCAGCTGCGCAGAAGGTTCGCGACGGCAAGGATAGGAATGTCACGACACAATCTCTGATTGGAGCCTGCAGGTCACGCTGACAAGTCAGCCCTTCGGTTGGGGGATAGAGGCGATACATGCAATGTCGCTGCACTCATCGGTAGCTTACATCGATAAGCTCTCTTTCGCTCGTCCAACCGCGCATAAGCACCCAGCAACTCAGAGGTGCTCAACGCGTGTTGTTGCACAGGTAACATGGCGGCCTCAGCAGCCTCAGAGTTGTTGACGGCGATCGAAGCCAGTGAATTACTGGTTCTACGAATCAACGCCGTCAAGC